GCAGATAAAAATGCTGATTTTGAAAATAATTCAACATTTTAAATTCTCATGCTAAATTCAACTTCACAACTTCTGTAATCTTCAAGAAAGCTTGACCCGATAGCCTCACTTTTGTGTGCACTAATACAGGAAGCCGCTGTCCAACTACACCGCACACACAGAACTGGAATAAGGGCTATTATCAGTGTTTTCATTTTTCATCATAAAATAATTTTGTGAAAAGTAATTCCAAAAATGTTTTTGTTTGAGTGTCTCACTTAGTTATTTATATCTTTATTTTAGGAAATCAGAACAGTTTGCAAGAGCAGCAGAATGCTTTAAAAGTAGTTTGAAATATAATCCATATTTATGGAGTTCATTTGAGAATCTTTGTCAGCTAGGTATGTGCTGTAGTTAGACACAAGAATTCGTGATTTTTTCTTTTTTTTTTTTACTCAAACTCTTCTTTTTTGTACCTTCATTAAAGCAAGCTGAAACCATGCAGTGAATGACCACAAAGCATTTTCTTTACTTCAGCAATGAACATATTTGGGAAATCATCTCCTCCATAATTTCTAGGAGTTTTTGTGCAGACTCTGTTATGAATTTGGAGGAGGTGATTTCCCCCTTAAATATTGACTTCTAATTTTGCAGATTTTCCTCTTGGAAACCTGGCAAGAAATTAAAAAAAAAAAAAAAAAAAATAGAGGACAAATTTACTTTTGTGAAATCTCTCATTGCACAAAATATGAAATAATCCTTCAATAATCTATTAAGAAATGGGATTTATACCTGTTATTGTGGAACCTTTGTTTTATACAATTAGTATCACTTTGAACCCTAAAAGTGACCAGCATCCAATGTCTCCTTACAATATCACCCCTGAATCACACATTTAGGTCACAAGAATAAAGAAAATGATCTGTAACTGAAGTAGCTCTTGATTGTTAAACAAATTCTCCTTGTCAGCACCATGGGAAATGTATAGAGAACAGTATGGAGAATATGCATCCTGATGTTTGGGTGTAAAGGTTTAAAATGTTTATTCAGTTACTATATTTATAATTGTTCCTTTTTCATTATTATTTTTTTTGATTAGGTGAGAAGCCAGATGCAGCGGATTATTTTAAATCGTCTTCTTGTCCCAAAATCACATCTTTCATGTCAAACAGAGAACACATGACAGTGGGATCCCCCACTGTTACTATGGATACAACAAGTCCGTCAGACAATCAGCGACGAAAAATTGACACAGTATGCTCAGAAAATCTTGATCCCTCACAGAACATCACTCCGCAGAACTTTAGCATGTTAATTTCATCCAGACCTGGTTCAATAGATATGTCAGGGGGCAGTTTCACAGTGCCGTCATCTGCTGTTAGTGTGGGTGAAAAGAGAATTCGTCAGAAGGTTGGAAGGAATCTTTTAGGAGCTACGCAGTCAGCAAGTCCCCTGACACCAAGGTATGAACAAGGCTGTGCTCCAAGAAAAGTTGAAGGGAACCCAGTGCTCTGAAACTGTGAAATCCAGGGTGGTCAGCATATGCTTTTTACGAAAAAACTAAGATTCCTGATTTGCCCAAGAGCAAAAGCAAGGTACCAGGGGCCACTGGGATCTGCTATACCACAGCCCTGATGGATACGGGTAGAACAATATATAGTCGTGTTTAGTGTTCCAAACTATGACCATTTTGGTTATGATGGCATCTAGAAAAACTTTTGACCATTAAATTTGCTTGGAGCTCAATCATGAGTTGGGTGACCAGTGTTTGGTGGCCATGGGTCAATTGGCCCATGAAGAAAGTTTAATAACAGATAAAAAAAAATTTTCCTTTGCTTAAATTTTATTGTCAGACTTGAAAAAGTGTACAGATGTACACATATCTTGGGTCCTTGAGGCCAAAAAGCTCATAACTGCAGGAGTTCATCTCAGTTTCTTTAACAAGAAGCAACACAGAGTGTTAGTCAAGGCTGTGCTCTAAGAAAAAGTGAAGGGAGCCCACTGCTCTGAAACTTTGAAATACAGGGTGCCCAGCATATGCTTTTATGCGAAAAAACTAAAATTCCTGAGTTGCCCAAGGGCAAAAGCAAGGTGCCAAGGACCACAGGGCATTGCTAGGCTACAGCCCTGTTAGTACTACTCCCCCTTGGTGAGATGGCAGTCCTTTGCAGGTTATATTCCCCCTCCTTTTCTTCATCCAGGATTTGGCAGTCTGCTGGTCCACATTTATCTTCCTGGATAGAGTGAGGCTCTGGGAGAGTAACGTCTCTTACCCGAGACTACAACCCAGTGACTTGGCTGTGATCTGATTGTTAATTCTCCCCCTCTTGCTGCCATACATTTCCCTGTAAATTAGTAGCAAGAATTTGGTGTTAGATCAAGAAAACAACTTCTACCTGATAACCTTAAGTATTCTCATTACTTGTCTGCTGGATAATGTATGGATATTACAGGGAGAAGTTACATGTTGATCATTTCTGGAAGTTCAAGGGTTAAAGGTCTAGGTATCTCACTGCATTGTTAAACCTATAAAAGGCAAAAGAAATGTTTAACTAAGAAAGAAACTGTTACATAATTATGTACATGCATATTTTTAAAAAGATATCTGAAGCTGGGATAAAGGCTGATAGTTTCTAAAGAAACTGTTTGGGGCTGCGTCGGTGGGGGTAACAAAATAATTTGGATATATCAACAAAGTTGAAATGGTAAATTGGCCACCGTAACGATTACAAAAGCTGACGTTTCGAGCATTAGCCCTTCATCGGAGCTGGGATAGTTCTGCTAGGCACTGTACAACTAACATGACCATCTTCTTTCAATTGGGGTCTAGTTTTGGAATGCTGGCATCAGATACACCAGCAAATGACCAGAATTCTGTGCCATTCATCACTCCATCTCCAGTTGTTGGTGAAGGACATGCCCCTAAAGCACCCCTGAAAAAGGTTTGCATAATATTTTCATCCACTGAGGGTGATATTTTGCAATATTGTACAGAAGATTCAGTTGTTTTGTTTTTTGTTTTGTAAGATGTTTTGAGTTCAAGGAGGGGTCCAAATGGCAAGAAAGTTTTGGTTGAGGTAAAAATTTCCCGGGGCACTGGGAACAACACCAACTCCACAATCTCAGGTGAAGATCAAACAAGATTTAATGCAGAAATTAAAGGGAACATTCACATTTCCTCTTTTAAGTAACAGAATCAATTATGACAATGGTACATTATGGTTCAGAATAAGTTACTGGTCTTTTGATTTTGCACAACTGGTAGTTTTCAGTCTGAAGCTCTTTTCTTTTAGGGCGGTAACAGAAGAAATGATTCTTCATGCAAACCGGTCACATCTAGTGTCCATAGCATGCACTCTCCATCAACAATGTTTACATCGTCTCCTCACGGCACAGGACATCAGGGCTTCTCGTCTAATGCTCCCAGTGTGCGGCGGAGCTCACGACTCTTTACACAGTCTAGTAACAGCTCTGTTAGCAATTTTGACTCAACAAATAAGGTAAGTAATTTTCCTTATGGTGTGGCTCATAAGAAAGAAGTACTATTATGATAGTTGAAGAAAATAATGATCAGGAGAGCTTTTAATCCTTTAACTCCAAGAAGTGATTAACATTTAACTTCTCCCTATAATAGCCATACACTATCCAGCAAACAGGTAATGAGAATACTCAAACTTATCAGGTTGAAGTTGTTAAAAAAATACATTAAAATACTTATTAATATCTTCAAAAAACAGAACTTGTATCTTACACCATCTTCAATTCTTGAAATAATTAAAAATTTGTAAACCTCATCAATCCTCTAGCTATGACCAGTATAGCAAAGTCTGTTTCTATTTCCTGTTATTATTATCATTAAATTAATTTACTATTTTAATTTTAATGTACTATTTATTGCAATTTGAACTACCGTTTTCTTAGTGTAATCTTAACTGCTGCCAATTCGAAGTCTTTGCAAGTACCTAGCGATAAGCCTAACTTAATTATACCTACCCGCCTTGACTAGTTTTCAACTAATTGTGGGTAGGCACTTCTCAAATTGTAATTGTTGTTGTTATCATGATACAACACCAAATTCTTGTAATTAATTTTCAAAGAAATGTGTGACAGCTAGAGGGGAGAATAAGTGGTCAGATCTTGAGAGTTTAAGAGCTAAGAGAGTGAGATTGTTAGGAGAGTTGAAATGATGATCAAGAGAGCAATTTTAAGGGAACTTAGTCACTGACCATCTACTGGACTTTCTTTCTATTTCATGCAGGATAGAAGACCAAAGAGTGCAAGAGTTGCATCTCCTTCACATAGAACTGCTGTTAGTAATGTTGTTAGAAAGGTATGGTTAAAACCATTTCTACCATCAAGTGGAAAGTATATAAGGCAAAGCTGTGCTCTAAGAAAAATTGAAGGGAGCCTAGTGCTCTGAAACTGTGAAATCTAGGGTGCCCAGCATATGCTTTTTAGGGAAAAACTAAGATTTGGCCACCGGGTGCTGCTAGACAGCTAGAGGGGAGAATAAGTGGTCAGATCTTGAGAGTTTAAGAGCTAAGAGAGTGAGATTGTTAGGAGAGTTGAAATGATGATCAAGAGAGCAATTTTAAGGGAACTTAGTCACTGACCATCTACTGGACTTTCTTTCTATTTCATGCAGGATAGAAGACCAAAGAGTGCAAGAGTTGCATCTCCTTCACATAGAACTGCTGTTAGTAATGTTGTTAGAAAGGTATGGTTAAAACCATTTCTACCATCAAGTGGAAAGTATATAAGGCAAAGCTGTGCTCTAAGAAAAATTGAAGGGAGCCTAGCGCTCTGAAACTGTGAAATCCAGGGTGCCCAGCATATGCTTTTTATGGAAAAACTAAGATTTGGCCACCGGGTCCTGCTAGACCACAGCCCTTTAAGGCAAAGGATGTAAGGCAAACAGAGATTTCTCCTGTGCGACTTGTTTAAAGTTTGCTCCACAGTGTTCAAGCAGCTGCCATTTTAGTTGGTTACTTATTTTTGAAGATCAAGCCTCTTTATGTAGACGTACAGCACCAGTCTTGATCTGAAGTATCTTTAAGGTAGCCTGTGCCAGCTAGGTACTTTAAATTTATTTATATACTTTTTTTGTCTGGCTGCCAAGAAATCTTTGAAGAACCTTAGTTCATTTAAGCAGACTTGAAAAGTAAGTGAAGATTTTGAAAATGGTATTTTATTCCAGACTCGACGGCAAACGAGAAGTTCCACTCCTCAGCCATTAGCTCCCTGTGTTGAGAATGTGATCCAGGAAGGGTCCTCTACACAACAAAACAATGAAGGGAGGGGTCAGTCAAAGTTATCACCTGTGCAGGGTGGTATGGGTAAGTAACCTGTACTCATGAACTGTCTTTGTTGACAATTGGACCTCTGCCATTGGAAGTTTCATTTGAGTTGAAAGTGTATGTGTGAATTGCAGGTTATTTCTTAAAATTTCTTTAAAAGAAATTTTTAGTAAATAAAGATGGTTGCAAAGGAAAAATCACAAGCATTGACCTTTGACCCTTTTTACTGAGTGACCAAGAAATAATCTCTCCACACAATGGTAACACAATGCTAAGCAGACAAGAAATGAGAATAACAAAAAATATTAATTAGGGGTATGTTAGGTGATACATTATGTATAGAAGCAGGGCCCAACGCTAACTTTTCGACTTACTAGCCAAGTGGCCTGTGACAACTTAGATTTTACAACAATTTCAGTTTGTTTGCCAGCCAAACTGGTTCATAGAAATGGAAAACCACTAGCCAAAACTGAATTTCTACTAGTCTGGTTAGTTGGCTTCTGTTAGTGTCAAGTGGCTAATGTTGAGTTAAGAAATTAAACACATTGTATCAAGGTTATGTTATGTTGTCACTGCAAATATAAAGCAATACAGCACACTAGAGTAATTTCAAAGTATGTATTGCATTCCTGCCAATTTTCTTTACTTATTTGTTCATTTGTTTATTTGTTTGTTTTTTTTTAGATGGGTTAATGGCACTTTTGAAGCAATTAGGACAGGCATATGTGCACCTTAGTTCTTATGAATGTAAACAGGCATTGAATGCATTTTCATCATTAGCACCCCACCATTATAACACAGGATGGGTGTTGACTCAAGTTGGGCGGGCCCACTTTGAACTGGCGGAGTATCAGCTGGTATGAAGAGATTTCTTGATTTTAAATTCTTTCAGTAATTAAGGGGACTCCTATGGGTAGTAACCAATCATAGAGCAGGAAAAAGTACCACGTGACCCAAATGGACCAAACAGAGAGCCGGATTAGGACACAGGAAATGTCACGCAACAACCCGACACAGGAAATGTCACGCAAGTCAAGTTTTGAGGGTACCCTCAGACGTTGTCGCCCACAATACCCCAAACTTGAAACAGTTCGTAGTTGCCACAGATGTGAATCACACCTGATGAAGGAGATGAGTCAAATGTTTTTTATATACTTCACACTATGTTTTTGTTATTAACAATCAACTTGACTTTTTTTGTAGGCTGAGAAAGTTTTCGCCAAAGTGAGACAACTAGAACCCTACAGAATTGAAGGTGATTAAGTTTGATCATTCCTTATAAACATATTTTTCAAAAAAGGAGAAGAAACTGTTGTAATTACTTATGCATATCTATTTATCTTCCAGGAATGGAAATCTATTCTACGACTCTATGGCATTTACAAAATGAGGTTTCCCTCTCGGCCCTGGCGCAAGAATTGGTAGAAACTGACCGTACCTCCCCTCAGGTGTGTGTGTCACCATTTTAAACTCGTGTTCGATGACGAACAACTCTTTATTTGATCCTATAAAATTTCGTCCTCAACCGTATGATTTAATTGTACGAATTATTTTTTCTTCTCCCAAGGCTTGGTGCGCCACAGGAAATTGTTTTAGTCTACAAAAAGAACATGATACTGCCATCAAGTTTTTCCAGCGCGCTGTACAGGTTAATCCACCCTTCACTTACGCCTACACGCTGCTGGGACACGAATACGTTCTCACAGAGGAACTTGATAGAGCCATGTCGTGTTTCCGCCAGGCTGTCAGGACAGATTCGCGGCACTATAACGCGTGGTTAGTTGGTTGCGTCAGTTTTGGTTTACTTCGTATTGTGATTGGCTAAGAAAAGTTGCACCATCCTCTCAACCAATCAGATGCAAAGCTTAAGCCAATCGTGACTTAAGTCACCTGCGTTTTCTCGCGCTCCATGTAATGTATTTGTTTCGCTCTGAGTTCTGACTGGCCCCTTCTGTACTTTCCTTTGTCATGATTGGCCGTCGTGATTACAATGAGCCAACGAGAACTCAATCGGAAACAAAGATTTGCCTGTAGCGCGGGAAGACACAAGAGACTAACCGCTATTTACAAACTATTTTACGACATAAACGAGAGACTGAGCCAAATGTCTTCACCAAATATCTTCCGTACACAGCTGCGAAGCTCAAGAAACAGCTAAAGAATGTAACTAACAGGGTCGTCTCGAAGTGTCCAGTTTAGGAGATATCCGTGATGAAGAGATATCTATTAAGAGAGTTTTCCGGAATTCCAGGGAAACAAACCATCAGTATTTTTCCTTTAGGGCCTTGAAGAACTCGTTTAAAATTTTGTCCAAGCCGGAAGTGACCATGGCGTTGATTATGTAATGATTTTATATATATATATTCTCTAGGTATGGTATTGGTATGATCTACTACAAACAAGAGAAGTTCAACCTAGCTGAAATCCATTTCAGAAAAGCTTTGTCAATAAACCCATCAAGTTCTGTGCTGTATTGTCATGTTGGAGTGGTAAGTTGACAAACCTTACAGGGCGAGGTCGCCTTTAAAAAATGTGGTTGACCGCCGCAATTTCATTTGTTAACATTGTTTAGTTTTAATGTATATATGAAGTTCATATATTTTGAACTGCCCTATTAGATACGTATGATGCACGATCCTGGCAGTAGAGAGCGGTATTTATGGAATAGCGAAAATCAGACCTGAAAAAAATCAGGCCTGTACGGGATCAAAATATATGAACTTCATATATACATTGTATCTGATTTATCATCACGGGTTTATTACGAATCAACTTAACGGCCTGCTCCCAGTTGGCTTGTTAGCTTAATTGGTTGAGCGCTGCACTAGTATCGCAGAGGTCAGTGGTTCGAATCCCGAACAGGCCTGATTTTTTTTTTCAGGTCTGATTTTCGCTATTGCGTAAATAGCGCTCTCTACTGCGAGGATCGTGCATCATACGTATTGTTTAGTTTTATTGAACACAAACTATCTTTCCGCCTGCGGGAACATTTCAGACGAGTCGAGGAGAGGTTTTCCAGGGGTCTGGCACAGATAATGAGTGCCAGGCCCCTTCCTTGCAGACCTCTCGTGTTGCTTAAGATCTACTAGTTTTCTGAAGGCTGAGACACATCCGTGCTCAAGCGCTACTAATGAGGGCCTACTCATAGGTTAACTGATCAACAGTCTGAGAGATGATAGAGAGATTTGCACCGCGTTTACGTGAAACAGCAGCTGACGTCAATTTGCCCTTTTAAGTCTCAAGTAAAATAGCGTGCTCCTTGCTGCTTTAGCTTCGCGTGAGCTCACATCATCGCGGATTTGAAGGCGCCCGTGCATGCCTCATAAGAAATAGTTTTAGTGCCGTTTTTCCGGCATTTGACTTCTATTCTGTGAGAGAAAAAGTGAAGAAAATCTTAAGTACTCGGCAAACGCGAAACAGGTTACTTTCACTTTTCAGAGTGATTAACGACCTTAATGATTGTTACACCCTCCAAAATGATCTGTCAGCTCTACATGATTGGAGTAAACTATGGGAAATGAATTTTAATTCACAAAAATGTAAACAGCTCTGTATAACAAGGAAGAAAAATCCAATCCACCAATATCTATCATCTTGGTACGGAATAATTACTCCTATCTGACACGGAAAAGGATCTACGTATGATGCTACATGACACACTAGCATGGCATGACCACATATTTACAAAAGTAAATTCTGCTAATAAGGTCCTGCGGCTAATTAAACGGACATGTGAAAATCAGACACAGTCGGCTGTGATTCGCAAGCTGTACATGCACCTTGTGCGGCCTCACCTTGAATACGCCTGCGAGATCTGGTCCCCTCAGCAAGCCTTTTTACGGGACATGATTGAAAGCGTTCAGAGACGAGCCACGCGACTCGTGATCAATGGAAAATCTTACATGGAGCGGTTAAAATCTCTCCATCTTCTAACCCTTAAGTCTAGAAGGACTCTACTTGACTTGATCTTCTTTTACAAATGTTTAAAGGGACTCTTAAATATTAACCTATCTAGTTTTATTATTTCCAGAAAAATTGCAACATATGAGCTAAGAAATGCTGATCTGTCATTTAGAACTCAATATGCGAGAACAAACATGCTAAAATATTCCTATTTTCATAGAACAGTTTACCTATGCATGTCAGAAAGTCTGAGTCTCTGATTTTAAAGTCTTTGCAAGGCTTATTTATACCAGTTAGACGCTGAATTAACCTAATTTATTATTATTAATATATATATATATATATAGATATAGATTTAGGTATGTGTAGTGTTTTTTTTTTGGGTGGTCTTTGTAAGGGAACCTGTTCCTGTTTCTTGGCCTTCCCCTCAGCTTTGTATATGTGTCAAGTTTGTTGAGAAAATGATTAAAGTTAAAGTAAAGTTAAAGTGACGTGGAAACGGCTAAGCGCAACTGGCAAACTTGAAAATGGTGGGGAAAACAAGGTCACGTGGTCACTCTTGCCTTACACGTTTCACGTAAACGTGGTGCTAAATCTTTCTTATTTCCCACATCTCGCGTAGGTACAACACGCGATGAAGAAATCTGATGCTGCGCTTGTTACCATCAACAAGGCTATGAATATTGATCCGAAGAATCCGCTGTGCAAGTTTCATCGCGCTTCCATTTTATTCTCAATGGATAAACATAAGGTATGGAGATCAAGGCTGCGCTCAAAGGAAAATTGAATGGAGCCCAGTGCTCTGAAACTGTGAAATCCATATGCTTTGAATGAAAAAACTAAAATTTCCGAGTCGCCCAAGAGCAAAAGTAAGGCGCCAGGGGCCACCGGGCGCTGTTAGAGCACAGCCTTGGAGATGTTTCTTTGCCACATGAATCTGGGTTTTATGTTGCAATCGAGACATCTGGATCATAATTTTAGGACGATATCTACAACCAGTACAGGATTGTGATTTCAAGTTCTAAACAAAAAAAATACGGGAATGCTTGTATTTTTCTCTCCATTAGCAGCAAAGTTTACACAATCATACACCGAATGCAAATATGGCGTCCAATTTGAGTTGTCATTGTTCTGGACTGACTAGCTTCTCACATATGTAATAATCCTTTTGTACTCCAACGTGAAGACGAGGCTAGTCAGTCCAGAACAATGGCAATTCAAATTGGACGCCATATTTGCATTCGGTGTATTGGTATCGCAAATCGAGGCCTTTATTATAAAAACCATGTCAGTATTTTGGTTTTTCTGCTTTACCATTTTCGTTACCAAAAACTCGTTCGGTGACGCTGACGGCTGTTGCCTTTTTCCCGCCAAGGTAAGGCAGGTTCGCGCGCGCCTAATTTGTCATTATTGGATATTTGGCATTGGAAAGTTTGATCCTCTCTCTCGAATCTAGATGTCTCGAATGTGTTTTTAAAGCAGTTGCGTCAATTTTGGAATTAGAGTAGAAGCCCCCTTTGGATATATATATATTTTTTGCCTTAACATCTGTTATATTCTGGACTTTTTCGTCAGGAAGCGCTGGAAGAACTTGAGGAATTAAAGAAAATTGTGCCGCGGGAAGCTTTGGTTTACTTTTTACTTAGCAAAGTAAGTTGCTTGAGCAAATTCACCTTTTAATTCCGATCGCAATTTGGTTTGGTTTAATGTACAGGTCAAAGCTGGGAGATTTAGTTGTTTTATGACAAGTTTGCCGCCGCTTAAACAACCCTTTACAGTTGATATTCGTTAGTTTTATCTTCTTTTCTCTGTTATTGGTTCAGAAACCCTACCTCACTATCTTAACCAATCAGATGCAGCACTCAGACAAATCATGACTTGTTCACGTGCGTTTCCCGCGCTTTAGATGGTTGCTTGTTTTTACCGTGGTTTCCTATTTTCTACACGTAATATTTTCCTCTGTTTTAATTGGTCGCTCTGATCACTGCTTTTGGTTTGTTCGACCACACAAAATTAATTTTGTTGTTTCAAAATACGTGCCTTTTCTCACTGATATCGAAAAGTTTAACAAAAGTTGGGTAAAATCTTTCAAAATTCATTTTATTGTCTCAAAATGCGTGCCTTTTCTCATTAATATCGACAGGTTTACAAAAAACTTGGGGAAAATCACTTGGCGCAGATGAATTTTTCTTGGGCAATTGACCTGGATCCAAAGGGTGCAAACAATCAAATTAAAGAAGCCATTAACAAAAGATATCTTCCGGATGATGACGACACAACCATGGGGCTTGACACCGCTGACACTATGGATCAATCTGTGAGCGTAAATGAACTCTCTGATGAAGACGAGGATTAGAATATGAACGAAGTTAAAAAGAACTGCTTTTGGACTATGGGTTGAAATAGAGGACTATATTTAATTTTTAACATTAAGAAAATGATTTACCAACTGAAATATGGCTTCGAGATTCATACTTAAAGGAGAGTTACGCTCCAGAAACTGAATAATTACGTAATGAGTATAGTATTAGCCAGGGGTTTCATTAAGGGCCGGGCAGCGGGCAAATTGACCGGTCGCGAGGACGGTTTTGCCCACCTGGTTTGACAATCTGGAGAAAGTTTATCCTATAACGAAGTTCAGTTCTAAAAGGCTTTGCCCGCCTATGAAAACCAGTTACCCTCCTGCTGAAAACGTTCATGAAACCCCTGAGTAGCTTGTTTTGTATGCTTTGAAAAGTTGCTGATGAAAAAGATATGGTCTCTGGAGCGTATTTCTCCTTTTGAAAGACTTGATAGCGGTTTTTGTAGCATCTGGAATCTCTCTCAGTCTATCAACAGACGAAGCTTATTAAGAATAAAGGGGGTAAGTTTCTAAAGAAACTGTGGTGCTGCGTCGGTGGGGGTAACAAGGTAATTTGGTAATATCAACTAAGTTGAAATTGTCAATTGGCCACCGTAAAGAGTTAAAAAGTTGACGTTTCGAGCGTTAGCCCTTCGTTAGTTAGCCCTTTCGCTCTGACGTTTCGCTCGAAACGTCAGCTTTTTAAATCTTTGCGGTGGCCAATTTACAATTTCAACTTAGAAGCTTATGAAGACGCGACTAGCGAGGAGACATCAGCCTACTTGTTTCATGATACATTGATAATCGTCACTGAGATACCTTGATAGAGCGCTTTTTGATTGGTTGGCGTAAACTGAAAAACAGAGTAATCTGAACGGCCAATCAAAACAACGGAAAAATTCTTTAAGGGCCAATGAAAAGCGCGTTTTTCCGCACGGGAAAACGCGCCAAAACTGCAAAACAACCAATACAGCAAAACTGGTTTCAGTTTTGGTTGTAAGAGTGGCGCGAGATTTTTGGACAAACTACAGAGCGAAGTAAAATATAACTAATGCAATCTCAGATTACTTTTGACACTCGCTTAAAAATTGCTTTATATGGGGTCAAGAAACAATGCTATCGACACACGAATCTTCTACATTTTAGTATTTTATTCACTCTCTCACTAGGATGATTATTATCCAAATGCTACGTGATAAAAAGAAATCCGGGATACCAGCTTCGTTGGAACGTAAAAACAGTTGGGTTCGGAGGACTGGGAACCTACCCCAACATCACTCCTGGAAACTAGGGATGACTGATTTTGCGGAATTATATCGTTAGATAAGAGCAAGTAAAGGAAATTAAACTATTACTTAGGTATGGGATGTTTTATGAAGTAATTAATGTAGGTTTAATAGTGGGAGAAAGACTTTAAGTCGAATGTACCATGTAGCAACATGCATCAAGGTCATGATTATCTTTTAGTGTTGCAATTCGCAATTTGTCGACTTTCGCTATCAATGACAAGTTTTTTACACTGGCTTAAACGCGATACTGTTATTGATTTATCTCGTTGATTAAATTTGGACACAACTTTGTTGAATGTTTCTTGTATTTGGTAGACAAAGTTTGCCTCCCTGCCTCAGAGGACTGTACCAAAAGACTTAGCCAATAACTTAATCCAAAAGACTAGCCCCACACCTGTTTCAAGGAGGTAACTTTCTGTAAGAAACTGCCGTGCTGCGTCGGCGAGGGGAAATAAGTAGATAATTAGTTGGTTTTATTAAATTAGTTAATAAATTAATTTGGCACCGTGAACAGCGAAGAGTTTTTATACCTGACGTTTCGAGCGTTCGATTATCCCTTGTTTAATCTCCATTTTTTTATCAATTTATTTAAATTTATTTTATTTTTCGGGAATTTTTTTTTTATAATGAACTTATTATTTTTGCAGATCGAGGATAGTTTCAAACTAAAATTTTTCATACCACACAGATTTTTTTTTTCTGAAAGATATTTTGGGAGTGGTATCGATTATATCAATGCCTGATTTTGAAATCAAAACTTCGAGTAAAAACCCCTGAATTTTTACGTCCTTGCTGTGAGGAGTCAAGGTCGTAATGTTCCACTTCCTTTACGTGGAAAAACGACTGATACATGCCGAGATCTCGTGATGACCGCGACTTGCAAGTCCCACAATTTGGTATTTGCCTTTATTTTTTGTGGACTTAATAACATTGATTGAGGCGTTCCTTCGCATTTTTTCGTGGAACTGGCCAAAATTCTATTAAGCTGCTGCCTAGTAAGGAGAAAAAAGCGACTCAAGTAAGTAAAAGATGATGTAATGTTTTAGTTACAAACTGTGGGGTGGACTGGAGTTGAGTTGTAGTCTCAGGGGCCTGTGTAGTCACGCGGGTCATTGTGGTCCTGCTCCGAACTGAGACTTTTACTTTGCTGTGATATCAGCCTATTTTTACGGAATTCATCGCATCTAGTCGCTCTGAACTTCAATTACAGGTAAGTTTAGAGCGCAATTAAGAGGTCTTTGCTGATGTGTAAGCCGTATTTTGCCTTAAACTACTTTACTTTGTTGGAAATTCAGAAGGAAGTTAGTCGATACGTATTTTACATTGCCGCCATATTTGTTTGTCTGACACGTTTAAATCGACAAGATGGTTTCAAGATTTCCTTGTTGTTATTCTTGAACAGCTCTCGGTGTTTGGGAAAGCATTGCATATCATTTTGATCACCTTGTTTGGGATGTCAGTGACAATTTTGGCGTTTCGTTTGAAGCTAAACTTACCGGAAATTCACGAACGTTTCACTCATTTTTACGTATATTTATGACAATGACGTTTTTTTTTTTGCATTTGATCATGCTTTAACGCTTTATTTAAGCGGATTTTACTCATCAAAATTACGTCCTGACACGAACAGAAACCAGTATACTGCGAAGCTTTACTCGCAAAGGGAAGGACTAATGAAACCAGCGTTTGTGTTGCTTGTAATTTCGTGTCACATAGTGATATCAACAACTTTCCTTATTTTAGGAACTTATGTTGTTTTCCTAGCATGGAAATTTAGCTTTGTTTGCATTATAAATTTGAATCATCCTGCATAAAATCTCAATCGTTAAATGCAGGGAAACTTGATAAAAGAACTGTTCAGAAATAAAGCTCGTGCACTTGAGGTGTTGCAAGCTCCGAGTGGAACTTGAACCGGCTTTGCCCGTCGCACTTTGTTCGTTCGGATGACCAACATGCAAATTTTTTGACATAACGCCCTTGGGAAAATTTTTTTGTTTTTTAAACTTCGCATTTACGTAAGGCCGCAATCGAAATGAGGTTATCATCTTCAATGCTAGATACATCGTGTTTTGGCAATGTGCACATGATGGAATATCTAAAATTGAGTTTAATTAAGCTGTGTGTACTTGCACCGTATTATTACTTTTTTAGTCGACGTTTTGCATCATTTTTTGCCGGTTAATTTTATCTTAAGATTCCCTAAAACATTCCTTTGTATAACATGTCTGTCTGTCAGTCAGTTTGTTTGAGTTTAAAATGTAGTACGTTCTAAACTACGAGGCGTAATTTTTTCGTCAACGGTGCAATCTTATTTCGCAATGTAAATACAGTCAGATGACTTGAAAACTTAGATAAAGTTCTGTGTAGATGATAATGTTACCCAGACATTGAATCACTTTGGCTGTAATTTTTTCTCAGTTGTTATAACTATCCTGTAATCTTGGTGTCCTAATGTGAGAAAGTGTCATTACAATTATGCCTTGTCACTGTTTGTTATGTCAACTGTTTTGTTATTACCCTCCTATTCTCCCAAGAGAGTTCTTTGGCTCATTTTATCAATTTCATTAATTCTGATCAGGAGAATAGTTCGATAAGACTTTGATATTTCGGGAAGAAATTCAGAGCCTAGGAGACATTTGAAACACTAGTTGATGAAGTAAGTTTTGTCCCTGGAATCAACTATTTTTCTTAACCTTCTTGTTTGAGTTTGCAGAACTTGACAAAGAGCCATGATGTCATATACTCTACCTGAAGAAATAATATTTAGCCAAAATGTTCTCTCGTAGAATTTTTTTTAAGAGGGTTAAAGAGGATTAGTTCCTTAAATATTATTTATTAGCTGATGCATTTTTTACCTTTAGGTTTGATCTTTAATACATCCATATTTTAAACTGGAATCATAAAGCTTTTGACACAAGAAGAGCTGATCATTCTTTGACTTTCAATGGCTGCGAGGGGAACGGCACAGCGTCCCAATGGAGCTGTACAAGGAAAAATCTGCCAGTTTAAGTTGGTGCTTTTAGGTAAGTAGTATTTTGTCACATTTTGGAGTGCATTCAGAGGTTCTACTGACATAGCTGCCAAGAAGTCTACAAGGTTTATCTGACATACATCCTCAGTTTTTTTTTTTTTTTTTTTCCTGTATGGAGGCAGAGTAGAAAAGCTGGCAACTTTTGCCATACCTTGATAATATAGTTGTCCTATTGTGTGGTTCCAAAAAAATGATAACAGAAGTCTGAGATCCTGTTGAGTGTATTGTTGTTACCATTCAAAAGCAGCTCTACTTGCAGAGTTGTCAAAAAGGCTTATAGTAATTAGACTGTGATACAAAATAGGCCAGCCACATTGGGTGTCAGAGGGCCTTCCACAGGTAAGGGCTCTGGAAGCCTGTGAGACCCCAAAGCATTTGAATATCTGGTGCATTTTTGCAGAGAGGACTTTGAAATGCACCGGTTGCCAGCTTATTTTGACAATGTGTATTTCAAATGTTTAGTTAGCAATTTTATCTAGGATCTATTTTCCATGAATTGCACTCAATTTGGTTAAAAATACATGTAAACCATGCCTTATCTGAACTAAGAGGAGGAAGGAAAACAACAGCTCTGTCAAAAGCCACCCTTGAGTAGTTCAGTTTCCTTGAGTGGAAGAGAACTTTGCTAAATTTAACATTTTTGATAAAATAAGGTGCATTATTTTATTGTTTTATGATACAGTGTTTTGATTTCTGAAAGTGAGATAATTTGATTCTGATTTGATAAACAAGTTATATCTGCAAAACTTAATGTTAACTGAATTCTCTTCTGATGACTTTTACACTACAAGTTTTGTGTGGCCTGCTGACAATGTCTTCTGTATCTCACAGGTGAATCAGCTGTTGGAAAATCAAGTTTGGTTCTAAGATTTGTCAAAGGACAGTTTCATGAATATCAGGAAAGCACAATTGGAGGTGAGTAGCTGACAACTTTTCTCTGTGCAAAATGGGATGGATCTCAAGAAAAACATTGTTGTCTTCATTTACCTCATCATTGCACTAAAGTATCACATATCAACCCTCCTATTCTAGCATTAAGCAGGAAGTTTGTCAACATGGACCACTTAAAATGCCCCAGCCTGCTACAAGTCCCCTAAAGCTCAGTGCTAGAGTATCCAAAGTGCTCATGGGAAGGTCATAAGTTTGACTCCCATTTGAAGCACCCAGAAATTTTTTCCAAGCATGCCAGTGTCATTCACTGACTAGCGTCATCTTTCAATTTTTTGAACTGATGATTATTTCTTCTGTATCTTCAGCGGCTTTTTTAACACAGACCGTGTGTCTTGATGACACAACGGTCAAGTTTGAGATCTGGGACACAGCAGGTCAAGAAAGGTATCACAGCTTAGCTCCAATGTACTATAGAGGGGCACAGGCAGCGATTGTTGTTTATGACATTACAAACCAGGACACTTTTGGCCGGGCAAAAACTTGGGTAAAAGAGCTTCAGAGACAGGCCAGTCCCAATATAGTCATAGCACTTGCAGGTAACAAAGCTGATCTTTCAAGCAAGAGGATGGTTGAATATGAGGTAGGAAGATTGTCATTTATTCGATTTAATGATTGTCTTATAAGTGGAATAGTGAGTGGATTTAGATACCCAGGGTACCCAGCTAACATTTAAATTTTTTTTTTCTGCTAATTAGGATGCTCAGTCTTATGCCGAGGATAATGGTCTTCTCTTCATGGAAACCTCGGCAAAGACTGCCATGAATGTGAATGATATCTTCTTAGCAATAGGTGAGTTTTTCATGGCTCATCAAGTTATCTGGTTGTGTGTTTTAACACTTATATCTGTCACTTGAAGATGGTAAGGCAACAGTTGTTTTCAGTTGTTTTTAGTTTTTTTATTTTCAAGAAGTATTTTAACTGTGCAGCACAGGCTTTTCATTTGAAAATGAAGGAGCTAAAAGTAAGTATGAAGTAGCAGTAAAATATCCTTTGTGTCTGAAGTAAAAATAGATCACTGAAATTTACCTAGTGAATTTGAAGAAGTAGGTAGAGAATTCCCCATTGTGGGTGCCTTACAAACTCCCTTTAATATTTAGGAAGTAATCATTAGTGGTATCATAATTAAATTTTTTTTTACAGCAAAGAAACTGCCAAAGAGTGACACTACTGCGGCAGGGCCTGCAGCTGGTGGACGACAGCCAAGGGGTGTTGACCTCAGGGAACAAAACGAGCCACGGGAGAGTGGTTGCTGTAAATAATTTTGCCTCTCTTCAGAAATCTTCTCCTATACAGATCATGTGTAAATCAACAATGTGCAAACTAGAATGTGGGCAATGTTGCACAAGCAACTTAAACAAATAACTGCTCTGTTTAACATTATCAGTAAATGTACACACTCTTGCCTTTAATGTGCAGTGGTGATTTAGCTTTGCATGCAAAAATGAGCAATTCATTTGTAATGTAAGATGACAAACTCTTGTTGTAATGTGAGCAATAGGGAGAGTAGTTGACAATGTTAATTTGGTGTAATATTTTCAGCCTTTTATGGCATTAGTTATGTTTGTCTGTGCTTTGTGTAAACTCGGCTGTCCCTACATTCAGTTTCTTGTGTTAACTTTTATACCAAATTTAAGTAGAAAAGGACCAGGTCTGTTGATCTGAAGAAAACCTTGTTGACCTCAAAGTCAAAGACATTTTGCAAAATACACAGACTGAAAACTTTGACAGTGACTAGAATTTTGAACCTTCCAGTGACTTGTCAAATAACGTGTTGATATTGTGTTGCAGAGAAGGTGGGTAAAAAAACTCTAGCAGAGAGCTGGCATGAACCCTTTTACTCCTAAGACCTGGTGTCTAAATTACTCTTCTGTTTTAAATACATTTTCCTATTCATCTCTTACCTCTTGGAATTTAAGATGTAATGAAAGGTTGTGACTGAAAGACCTCATTGACGACTTAAGTCTTTGCTCGGTTTCATTACAGTAAGAGAAGTAGATTCCTTGAAAATATTTGCGTGGAAAAGTATGGGAGAATGGCAACTCTGATTTTTTAAATTAGAGCATCTTTGTGGAACAATTAAAAAAATACACGAGGCAATGATCTCTACAATGAACTTCTTCTAGTTTAAACCTTGTCCAAAATCAATGACAGCTCTCATCAAATAAATTCAAAGCAGTTTGTGTCTGTGCATTTTTTTTTGGGCCATGAGGATTAAGACTACTTCAAAGTGAATGGTGTGTCTGCAACTTGAAGCTAAGCGTCCCTCGGGCCTTAACAGATGTACCACTGCTGCCACTGCACTCAATAAAATGAGACATCACATATAGTTTTAGCTAGGCTTACAGCTTGGGTAGTTTTGTGGCAGTCATTTAATTTAGGAACTTGTAATAAAATATGGTACTGACTTTTGTCTGCACCTTTCTTTTGATTAATTTCACTGCATTCATGATAATATTATGGGGAAGTTTAGTCTAATAAATTGAGCATAGTGGATTGTCAGTTATGTTCGAGGCGATCGTATTTGTAAATGTTTAACTGTGACATAATATGTGGGAGTCAATCTCAATGAGGTTTTGGTAATGAAAGGCCTTACAAAGTGTTGTTATGGTGTTACATTGTTGTTGTTGTTGTTGCTGTTTTGGGTGGGGAACTGATCAGATCACATAAATATAAAATCATATAACCTTGAAATGATATTTTATTAATATGCATAAGGCAAACATGGCTGTTTTTGCTTGTAAACTTTCAAATTTGAAGATATTCTTTCTGTGAGATTTTGTTTTTCAAGTTGTCAAGGCCAGATTACGTTAGGTTTAAAAAACAAAGAAACATGAAAAAAAAAAATCAAAACAATACAGCACTATTACTTGGAAACTAAAGATGTCCCTTAAATAGAAATTTGCGTTTCAGGGCTTTGTCCTCCTGTTGTTTGACATAATTAGAACACGATCTGTAACTTGAATTCAGAAGATATTTCTTAACAGTGCTACTCATCGTCGTCATCATCATCTGATTCCTCAGAACTCTCCCACCTGCTATACACAGTGGTAGTAGAGTCCTGTTCTTCTATCCCTTTTTCTTCTTTCTCCTCTGGTTTTTTCTTCCTCGCTCCCAAGAAACACACTATCAAGGCGATAAGGAACAACGTCCCTCCTCCAGCCGCGCCCCCAATCGTTATGATCTGCTGTATTTTTTGTTTCTGTTTGTACGCCATGTCCTCGACACACTCATGTCCATCACCGGCAAATCCTTTCACGCATGCACAACTGTAGGAACCCCTCTCATTGTGACAAACGGCTTTTTCGTGACATGGTTTGTCTTCACATTCGTCTAGGTCTATAATTGTTACAACAGAATTTAAATAGAAATAAAAATTGGGGAGAAATTTGAACCGACTTATATTATCCGATGACGCAGGGTGCAAGGTTGTTGCGACCATCGCAAGTTACTCAACCCAGCCTCGCAATGTTCTGCCCATATCAAAATCTCTAAGACAGGGAATCTCTCCGCGCATGTGCAGTATAATATGGAGTGTTTTCAGGCGCATGCGTGTTGGGGTCTCCGATTTTCTGTTTCACTTTTGTAACGTTATACCGCTGAATAACGTGCTCGCACCTTCACAATGATCCGACTCCAAATTCATTTCAAATCCTTGCGGACACTTGCACGTATAAGAACCTGGTATATTTTTACACTTCGCTCCTTTTCGCTTGCATTTCGATCGAATATCTTTTTCCTGACATTCGTCCATATCTACGAGACAACAAATATTTGAAAAGTTATACTATTAATGCTGTAGTTCACCCTATAAAATAAACCGGGTAGCTGTTTACATTTCGAAAGCAGCGATCTCTCGAATTATCCTTCATATTAACTTTGACGAAAATTTTTTTCTGTAATTTTTTAAGGCATCTCACTCCCCTAATTCGCTACGTTCGCGATTTTTTAATCAGTGTTGAGGGGAATTCTTTTAACATTTTACACCCTAACATTACTATCCATTTTGTCCATTCTCTGTGGAAATCTATAGATTTCCTTCTGTACTGACAAGGAGAATTCGGCTAAGAATCAAAACCTCTTTGGTTGGCGATCATTTGTTTCATTTCACCAGGTAAGACGCCGAGACCAGGGCTGGGTTGTTCAAAGATGGATTAAGATAACCCAGGGTTAGTCATCCTCGAAGACCCAGGGGCTGAGTCGATTTCAAGTTAGGGCATGAAGAGCCCCTGGGGACATTGTATAACAAGACTAGTTCCAAACGGTCGCAGTCGTTCTTCCATCTGATTGGTGCCAGAAAATCTTTGTGTTTTTCTGCTCAATCAGAGTGTTTTAACACGGACATATATACTAGTAGCTCAGTTGCTCGCTGTGATTGTTTGGACCGTGCGACGGAGATTTGCTTGAGGTGAAAAGTTTCAGTCTCAGCACACAATGTAAGAGAGATCGATCAGATTGTCCGCGAAAATTTTACCGGAAATTATACTGAATACTTTCGCAGGTATCACGAGAGAACGTGTTTTAAAGTTTGTGAGGTTTGTATACAACACGATGGTTGAAGTCATTGATATGTCGCGTTAAACGTTAAACGACATTTAGACAAGGTTAACACTAGAGGAAATTGTTCCGGATTCATGATGAATCCGAAACGTTTTAGTACCGGATTGATGTTGCCGTTTACAAGAAAGTGGACGAATCCGAAATAAAAACTCCCCGGTTTGGTCGTGTCTCCGGAGATTTTGAATCCGGAATTTAAAGTGGGAACTTTGAATCCGATAACTTTTGAATCCGGAAAGTTTTGTCGTGTAACCGCTTTTTTT